AACCTTTTTGTTTAAAAAATTTAATTTAACAATTTTAATTTCAAAAAACCAATGCATAAATCGAATAGGTCTTCCTTTTAAAATTAAAAATAAAGTATCAAATAATTCTGGTATTTTAGACAAAACCCAAATAAAAATACAAAAACCAGAAATTTGATTTATTTGGAGTTCGGTAATTTGTGTATATGTCTCTTAATTAAAATATTTATTAGCATCGAAATGTGACACTTGAAGTTGTTATAATTTCCGGTGGAATAATGAAAATGGGGAATTTTGCCTCAGTGGCATCTTTTAATCCAAAATTTTTTTCAGTATTGGATTACTCGTTAATTTGTAATAAATACAAAATAATTTCAACAATTAATATACTATTTAATATATTTATTTACTTATTATTCCATTTCTCTCTATCGAATTAAACATTATTGGTGTTAATCTAAAAAATCCAATAAAACTAAAAACAGCCAAAAATAAATTCCATAAAGCCAAAATTATATTTATTGAATTATTGAAAATTATTTTTTTGTTTTTTAAAAATAATTTAGAGAAATTAATTAATAAAATATAAAATAAAATTAAAATTAAGAATATATGGAAATTGTCTTTGACCCATTCCTTAGAATATTCATAGTTGTAGGATTCATTAATTAAATTGAAAAAATTAATTTTAAAATTATTTGGCATTTAATTAATTTTCTAAATTTATTATTTATTTAATTATTTTTGCTTAAAAAATTCTAAAAATAATTAAATATAAAATGTTCTGATTTTTATTTATTTATTCCACCAAAAACTGATAAGAATTTAGATGTTTTGCAACTAAATTTTATAAATTATTAAAACAAAAAATTTATAAAAATTAATTTTTCCACATTTTTAAAAAATTTTAAAATAAAATGCTTGTTAAATGCTAACAAATATTTAGAAAAGATAAAAACTGTTATTGAGAAAATATTAAATTTTATATACAATCTATTCGTTTCCTTTCAATCAAAAACTACGTCTTGATGTTAAACTTAATCTTTAAAAAAATAAATTATTTAAATAAATATTATTTTATTAATAAAAACACCTTTTTTGATTAATTTTTGAATTAACAAAATTAATTAAACGTGAACGGAAACTAGCAGAATTTAAACAAAAAATAACAAAATTAAGAGATTTTCCTAAAGTAACAAGGAAGACAGTTAAAGCTCTCTAAAAAAATTTTAAAAAAATAAAAATATTTTTTTTCTAAATAAACATACAAGAGTAACATAAGGATCTTTTGCAGAAACTGGACCAACAAAAAGTTGAATAAATGCTGATGGTGTCTAAATTTTAAAATATTTAAATTAATTAAATTAATTAGCCTGAGTAAGTGTAAAGTTTGTAACAATTGCTGCCTTTTAATTTGTAAAATAATTTTTCTAATTTATTAACTAAAATTAATTTTTTTACCACAATAAAAGTAACATGATATTCAACTCGAAATGTATTTAAACAAATACTTTTTCTGTTTAAATCCAAAGATTTTGTTGTTTTTAAACTATCAGAATGGCCAATAAATCCAGAAAGGTAATTTCTAAATAATTTTAGAAATTATTTTTAGTAATTTTTAAATTTTTAGAGTTTATTCTTTGTCATTTAAGGATTTTAATCAATTTTTAAAAAATTGAAAAGGTAAATTAAAGTTGAAGGTTGTTGGTCCCTTCATCTAAAAACGATGCTTAAACCAAAAATTTAGTTCGGTTCCGGGTATCTGTAACTGTTAACTTCAATTTTAGATTATTTTAGATTTTATTAAATTAACTTCTCTTAATATTTTTTTGGATATTAATTTAATTAAAACCTTTTATATAAAGCAAATAAAAGTCCTAAATTTGAAAAAATAATTAAAACTGTTGGAAGAAAAACTACAAAAACTGCATGAATTATAGGGCTATAATGTAAATACAAATAAATTAATTGAGAATTAGCCAGAAAAGAATTATTTGTTTGCCATCTAAATTTAAAAAAAAAAATAATTTTTTAAGATTTTTGTTAAAAAACTTTTTTGAATCAATGTTGAAACAAAAAGAATATAATTGACTTCCATTGCAAAATGTTTTAATAATACATTGATAACTAGTAAATTTGTAAAAATTAATTTTTCAAAAATTTATTTTTATTTAAATTTATTTTTTATTTGATTATTCCAAGCTTATTTTTCCCAAAAGAAATTTTTTTAAATTAATTTTATTAAAATACCTTAAATGAACATAAAAAGTTAACAAAAAAGTAGCAATAATAACTATAACCAAAAACAGTTTAATACCAAAAGGTCGACTTTTATGAATACTTAAAGGGTTACTGATTGCTATAAAACGTTCAAAACAAACACCCAAAATAATCCTAAAGAATTTTAAATTATAATTAATTTAAAAAATTAATTAATTAAAACCAAATAGCAGCTGCTGAACATCTAAAAATTAAAAAGATTATTTTTTTAATAAAAATAAAAAAAAACTAAGCTGATTAATTAATGCAAGAATGTGTATTTTAAACAAAAAATAAAATTTTCGAAATAAATTATTTAAATAAAATAAATCAAAATGTGCCAAAGAATTTGGAAGAAATAAAATTAAAAATAAAGCATCAAACAAAGCAAGGGAAGATAATAAAATGTCTGGTCTTTAATTGAAAATAATTTTTTAAAAATAATTTCCTTAAAAAACCTAGCAATTTTTCTTTTATTTCCTCCAAGTAAAATTAAAAGATTTAAACAATTCCCAATTAAACCAAACAAAATAATTGGAGGCAATAAAATTCCAATAAATATTTTCTCAACAAAATGAGCAGAAAGACGCAAATTGTGTTGAGATAAACAAATTTTGGAAGAATTTAAGGAAATATTGTTATTGTAATTAATTAATTTTGATGCCATTTTTTAAATTTGAAGATACTATATTCGCATTTAAAGTTTTAAAATTTATGTAATTAAATTTAAATAATTAATTTTGACTGTATTTTTTTTTCTTTAATTAATTTTCCTTATAAAATTGTATTAATTTTAATTTTTAATTGACAGAAAACCAATCAAATAAAATACAGGAAAACTAATTCGATTGTGAGGAGAAAAAAAGATAATCAAAAATTAAAGGAATTTAAAGAAAATAATAAAAATAAAAAAAGTTTTTTTTACGATGCCAAACAAGTAAAGAGATGGCTTTTGACCGTTGGTTGTTTTAAGCATATGCTTTAACTAATGCTGACTTAAAGTAGGTAAAATGTGGATTTTTATGATACTTTTAAAGTATATTAAAATAAAAATTTAAGGAAAAAAGTAAAGATAAAATTGAATAAATAAAATTTGTAAAAAAAATAATATTTTGAAAATAATAAAAATAATTAAATATTTTTTGTAAATATTTTAAAAAATGTTGTTATTGTTTTTATCGTAGTTTTAATTGTTTGTAAATACTAATTCCACAAAATTTTTTGGTTTCTAAAGAATAAATATTTACAATCTAAACATCTTTAAAAAATTAGAGACAGATTAGATTTTTCTTAATTTTACAATATTTTCTAATACTTGAATTATTTAAAAACATTCAAAAACCTCTAGGGAGCTTTTTTTAAAAATAACTAATTTAGATAATTTTTTTATTTTGGTTTCTTTGCCTAATTTATTTAAGTGATTATTAAATTACTGTAAAGTGAATATTTTCTTAAATTTTTGGTTTTTAATTTTTATTTTGTTAAATTTGTGTTTTGACGTTTATCATAAGTCTAAATTTCTTTCATTTTTTTGTAAACAAAAAATTAAAATCCAGACAAAAGAATAAGTATATTAAAATTTAAGACCCTATTTTAATAAAATTTTGAGACATTTAAGTAATAAAATTCTCAGACATTTAAATAAATTTGCAAAAAAAAAAGTTTATATTTACTTTTTAAAAAATTATTTTATTATTTAAATGTCTAAAAAAAACTATAGAATTATTTAAATAAACAAAACTTTTTTTGGACAAACAATTAAAATAATAAAAAAAATTTTTTATTATTTATTTACTTAATGCTTGTTTTTTGGGCCTATTTAAATGTTTCCAAATTTCTCTTTTTTATCATAAATTTATTAAAATAAAAACTTTCAACTGATAATATCTGGCTTAATATGAAATAATCTTTTAGGATAGCTAAAACATTTTACAAAATATTATACAAGTAAAATCCAATATATTATGAGATTTAATTAAAATATAAGGGCCCTTGTGTAAGAAAGAATCTCTAATAGTTTTGGGTCTCTAATAGTAACCTTGTATTATCCCGATATTAACTATCCAAACTATCTCCGGCTAAAACAAATACAATAATTAAAGACCCTTATGTAATTAAATCTTTTAATTAAAGGATTTTACTCACATAGTTTATCCAAAATTTTAGATAATTTTTGTTAAAGCAACAGAAAAAAATTAATTAAAATATAAAATGAACAATTCAATATTATCATTTATTTTGTCTTTATTTATTTTGGGAATGAATGTTTCATTAATTGCTGGAGGTTGTGCCGCTCCATGCAGTCCAGGATCATGTGCAGGAGGCTGCCCTGGCTAATTAAAAGGTTTTTTTTATTTTTTAAATTTTATTTATAATATTATTTTATTTTTCAGTTACTAGACGTGCTGCTTTTCAAAAGGAATTAGAAGAATGATAATTTGTTTAGAATTGTTTAGAATTTGTTTAGAATCTTTGTTAAATTGTTTTTTTTCTTTGTTAAATAAAAATTAAATTAAAAAATTAGCGTTTTTTGCTAAATTATTTCGATGAATAGTTAAATCATCAAAAAAGAATTTATTTTCAAGTTTCTCTAACTTCTCTGAAACACTAAGTTAATAATTCTGTAAATAGATAATTCTCTAATTAAAATTAATTTTAGTAAAAAATAATTTTAAAAATTTTATAAGAAGTTTAAATTTTAAACAATTTTTTGATTTAAACAAAATAATTTAAAATATAATTTTATATTTTAATTATCCCTCTCAATCAAAATCAAGTCTAGAAGCTATCCATCCTGGAATACAACGGCCTCTAACACAACTTTCTCCTGATCGACAACGACAACCTTCTTTAACACAAACTTTCTCATTATTACTGCATATCCACCCAATTTTACATTCATCTATTGTTTGACAACTTTTAAGGCATTTCATGTTTCTGGCACAATTCCAATCTTTAAAATATTTTTTTTGATTTTTACCAAATTTTTAAGAGTTAGGTTTGCGAGAACACTAAGTTTAGGAACCCTCTGGGGCGGTATGCAAAAAAGCGGGTTGGAGAACCTGGTAAGTCTAGCAGGTTCTATTACTCGGGTAATAGAACTCTCAGTTGAGGGTTAACCCTTATTCAAAAAAAATCAACCCAGAACCCGATGCTTACCCGCAGCTGCGGGTAAACTAACCCACAACCCTCTTTTATGAATATCAGCCAAAATTATACAATGTTTAAAATTTGATTATTTAAATTATTTAAATTTGACTATTTAAAATTTGACACTTTAAAATTAATTTATTTTTATCAATCTTTTGACGAGAATGTTTTATTACTATAAATAAATTTTTCGGAGCAGTTCAACTGAGTCCCGGCCCTATAACTTAACAAGGAATGGCACTTTTTCATATTCTTGGTATCATTGGATAGAGAATCAAAAGCTCTATAATATATCAAAAAATCAGAATTTTTGACCGATTGATAAAAAAGTTATGATTTAAAAACTAACTTTTTCAAAAAAATCTGATTTTTCGGCACTTTATCTATCATAACTTTTTTTATCAGTCGGTCAGGAATTTTGGTTTTTTGGTATATTGTAGCCGATTTAATGCCCTATCCATTGGTACCAAGAGTAACAAAAAGTGCCCATCCTTTCATAAGTTATAGGGTCCGGGACTCAATTGAGTCGGGACTCAATTGAGGTGTACCGTAAATTTTTGCCTATATTTCATTAAGGTTTTAATTATAATTTTAGTTGAAATGGCATTATTTACGAGGCAAATGGAGCTATTAATTGCTGAACGTGTGGAATTTAAAAAATAAAAAAATTTAATTGCTGAACGTGTGGAATTTAAAAAATAAAAAAATTTAAAATTTAAAAAATAAAATTGCTGAACGTGTGGAATTTAAAAAATAAAAAAATTTAAAATTTAAAAAATAAAAACAGCCGCAATATCGTTCTTAATCCCGCTTAATCCACGAAATCCATTTAATCCTTCCAATTTTTATATCATTAGATAGAGGAGAGTGTTTTACATATTATAAGTAAAAATCAGAATTTTAGCTTAATTTTCCTTAGACTTATAAAATTTAAAAGATGCTTGATTAAAATAATCAAGAAAAAACAAATAAAAAAATGCCTATTGGAGAGAATGAGCCCCTTTTTCGCTCAAAAATGGGGTACTTTACGCGAGAGCTGATGGCAAATTTATTTTTCAACGAAAATTTTTAAAAATTATATCAACAAATAGAGCACACTCTAATCTATATAAAAATATTTAATTTGGAATTTTTAGGTAGACCTAGGATTTTTAAAAAATTTTTAAAAAGATGCGGGTAAGATTTTAACCCTCATCGGAGCAGGGTTAAAATCTTACCCGCAGCTGCGGGTTCTATTACCCGCAACCCTCATTTTTGAATAAGGGTTAGAACCTGACCCGCAGCTGCGGGTTCTATTACCCGAGTAACTAACCACAGCTGCGGGTTACCCCGACCTCCATTTTTGAATAAGGGTTCTGGGTTAACCTACCCGCAGCTGAGGGTTGGTTAACCCCTACCCGCTTTTTTGCATACCGCCCCTGAGAAAGACTGAGATGTGAAACTCTTGTTTAACTCTTCAAGAGATAAATATGTATTCTCGCAAAATTTATATAAAAATACTTGTAGGGCATTGGTCTGAGGAATAACATATTTCGGGTACACAAACATCCATTGTACATATACGACCTTTAGAAATTAAAAATAAATTTAAGTGAAAGTCAAAATCACCTTTTCGACATTGATTGTTTGAAGAACAACTTCTGGGTAAATATGCGCTGTCCAAAATACGTTCAATGAAAATTGTCAAGAAAAAGAAAATAAGTAACTAAAAATAATATAATAATTAATTAGCAACTAGGGTTGGACAGACTTGTTTTAAAACCAAAAATTTTGAGATTTTTTGCCAAACATTAACCAACCGTTTTTATGAAATTGTAAAACCGAAAACCGGAAATTTATTATTTTTTTTACAAATTCCCGCAGATGAAACCGGTATTTAACCAAAAACTCAAAACCGGGTTTTTGAAATTTAAATTAACCGATAACCGTTTGTACCGGTTAATAACCGTTTGTGTCCAACCCTTTAGTAACTATTTTTAAACAAACATTAAAGAATACCTTTCAACAATTATTTTAGTTAATCGAATTTTTTAATTAGATTATTAGATTTGAAGTATTCACCTAATTTAAAATTTTTTAAAATAAAAAACTAATTTTATCAAAGGCCATTTAACACTTTAAAGAATAAATATTCAACGACATTTTATTGCTTATCTAATCATGTTTTTCTACTTATGAAGAAAAATTTTAAACAAATTAAAAATATTATTACCCAATTAATTACCTTTGAAATATATTTATTTAATATATCCATTATTTTACAAAAAAATACAACGAAATATAATTATTTTAAAAATAGAGCAAATAATTATTTTTTAAATTATTCATAATTTATTATACTTTAAATAATGTCTTTAAATATTCTTTAAATGCTAAAACTTTTTTTGAATTAGTCATTTTCCCTTCGCATAATTATTTATATTATTTATGTTGTATACTTAACATGGGTATAAACATTATGTTTATTTCTAAAAAAATTTTTCAGAATATATTTGTTTTTCATAAATAGTTTTTTTATATAATAACCATCAGAGGTGTCGGAAATCGGAAGAGCCGGAAATCGGAACTGGCTCGAAGTCGGAACTCAAAAATCGGAAGGAAAAAATGCCGGAAATCGGAATTCCGACCCACCTCTGAAAATAACGAGTATTCTAAAATTAGGCAGATATTATTTTTTTAATTTTACTTGTCTTCAATCTCTTTCATACATAAACTCTTAATTCTATAATCTACTTAAAATTGAAGCCTATAAAGTAATTCATAACCCGGAATTCATAAAAATATTTAGTAATCAAAACCATTATCATATAAATTTATTTTTATAAATAACATGTAACAAATAAAATTTTTAGATTACAGTATATACGTACAAATAAATTTCTATACAAAAATTATTTCTTAGTTGCCGGGGGTTGAGACTTTTTCGGGGGAGGAGTCGGGGGAGGAGTGGACATAACATAACGAGATGAGGTAGCATAAGATGAAGAAGTAGGCTTAGAAGCAGGAACAGCAGCAGAAGAGGTATAGCGAGATGAAGCTAACAATTTCACTGGTGCGGTGGGTTTTACATGAAATGAGGGTTTAGCACCAGCATTGGAAGATGGTATTGGATTTGGTGGTTTATTAGCTGTAGTAGAAGGTACATATGTAGTAGAAGGTGGTTTATTAGCCGCGGTAGAAGGTACATAGCGAGATGATACTGGCATGGATGTTGCTATTGATGTCGGTTTTTTGTGTGGTGATGATGGCTGTGGAGTATCAATCGGCCAGAATTGAGAAAATGAGCAGCCCAACAGTACATCCACGTGCATAGCAGCGCCAGCATTATTAAACTAAAATTAGCAATAAGTTTCCAATTTCAATGTTTTCTTGCCTCTCCACAATAGTTTGGTGCAGAGAACACAGTAACCAATTTTTGAGTTGGATGTATTTCGTATCCATCCTGTACAACTTGGTGAGCCCTTACAATTACGTCCACATCAAGTTTACGACACGCATCTGACAGTATATCATCTCCAAATAAATAGCTGCACCCCCTGAAATGAGAACAGAAAATATTTTTGATGATGAAATCATTTTTTTACCTCGGACTAGACTTCCATCCTTTTGTTCCAGGCTCAGGATCAGACCTAAATTTTAAACCAATTTTATTTCAATTTATTTCAGTTTTTACCAAAGCAAATCCATTGCTATATTGACGCCTTGAGGATCTTGCCATCCGCGTTTAATAAGTCGTAGTTGATCTCTTTCAGTCAGTGCCGGCGACAGGCCTCCGTGCATACAGAGAATCCGATCTATAATATTTTTGATAAGCATCGTTATTAGAAAATATTTTCACCTCCTATTAGAGCACTACACGGCATTTGAGCAAACGCATCATTGAACATCCAAAACAGGCCGATGTTATCTCTTTGGCCATATCTCTGTTCAAGCTCTGACTTGAATCCATAGATGGCGTTGACCGGACTTGTTTCGTGATTTCCGCGAACAAGATAGAAACAAGCTGGATACTTGACTTTGTAGCACAGCAACAATACAATCGTTTCCAAATTTTGTGGCCCTCGATCTACATAATCTAAAATTGGAGAGAAATTATTTTTAGTAGCCAGAAAGCATTTTAGTTTTTACCTCCAAGGAAGATATATCTAGTTGTGGGCGGCTGTCCAAGTTGGCTGAATATGCGACGTAAGTCATTGTACTGAGCATGTATATCGCCACATATAACAAGTGGTGGAACGAGTTCTAGAAGCACAGGTTGCGCTTGAAATACTGCCTTCGCCTTTCGGGTCAGTTCTGCAAGAATAGATGGCTCTACCTAAAAATTAAAGAATTTTGTATATACATACAAAAATAATACAGAAACTCACGCTTTTTGCAACGTCGAACGACTGGCCGTTGAGTTGAGTTAGTAGCTTGTCCACGTCCATTTGTGCGAGACGAAACCAGTTGTGCATGAATACAGAAGGCTTTGGAAGCTGCTTTTATAATCATAAATTTAATTGTGGCTATAAAAGCCTGAAAGTAGTCTTCGACTATCGAGATTAAATAGCTAAAACGGTGTGAAACGAACCCAAAAGCAAATGACGGAGGCGCACGAGTTAATTTACAATTCTGATTTGCTTGTTAATAAATTTTTAATATTTTATCTCTAAATCAGTTTGTGTTTATTTAAGTTCAATTAAGTTTAAATGGATATATTTTAATTAATTAGAAATTCTTCTCAATTATTCAACTTCTCATTCATTCATTTCACGCAACACAAATAAAATCTCCTTTCTAAATATTTTTAAATTAAATATCTAAATTTAATTAAAAACAAACAGCAAGTTTTTTGCATTTTTCAGCATTCCAATGATTTATTGTATACAATTGTTCTATTGATATTCCATATTTTTTGGCAGTTCCTTCACAACTATCTCCAGCCAAAAAAAATAAAAATTATTTTTAAAGTATTTAAATAAAACAAACTTTAATTTTATGCATTTTTGTACAAAGCCTTGATGTTATAATTGGTTGTTTTTCTGGCGAGGAATTAATTAAGGAAGTAGACAATAATAACAATATAATTAAATTAAAATATATTAGAATTAGTTTCAACATTTCTTGGAAAATTTATATTTTAAATTTCTTTAATTTACATATATTAATATAAAATAATTTTGCGAGATCCCAAATGTGTGAATAATTAAAAATAGGAGTAACTATTGTTGCAAGATCAGTCTTTATTCATATTTAAAATTCTGCATTCATATTTAAATTCCATATGTAACTTTGGAGTTATTAAAAAATCCCTTTGATTAATCCAGCGTGTAATCTCCCGTCCCGAGACAGTCATTGGATAAAATACATATGTATAACATTATAAAAAATTAAATTAATTTTTTTTCAGCCTACAATAACATTTTTTGCCTTAAGGTCCTTTGATGATTCCCAACCGAAACAATAAACAATTTTTAAAATAGTAAAAATTAATAATAAATTTTTAATATTTTTTTTAATTCTTAAAGTCAAATAACAAAAACATTCATTTTCTATTTGGAGTTATTAAACCTGTTATTAAAACTCGTTTATTTTAATAAAATTAGTAGATAAAAAAATAATTTTGTAAAAACCCCCTTATAAAATAAAACTAAATTACATAATTTTATAAAATATTTTTAAAAAAATAAAACATTTAAGAAGCTTTTTTTACAATTTTATTTTTAGATATGAATATAATCAAATAAAATATTTATATATCAAGCAACTAATTTGTAAGAAATTAGGGACGGGAATTAGTAATTTAGCAACCCATAAATTTAAATTTAAAATAATATATTTAATTTAATCATGAAATTATTTTAAATAGAGAGCGATCACTCGAATATTTAAAAAACACAAGTGCCAATTTAGAAACATCATCCGAACCGAAATAACCAAAAAAATAATTTTTAATATACACGGCTCACACAATGAGATCCGTGTCAAATGTTACGTATTTTTTCAGCATGAATGCACGGTATAAAACACCTGACACGGACCCATTGTAGGAGAAACATACTGCCATGAAAACAAAAAATGATACAAACTTTTTGCTTAAAAATTACTAAATCCGAACTCGCATATCTTCAAAGTTCGCTCTCTAATTTTTTTAATCCAAAAAAAATTCAAAATAAAATCCCCTAAACAATGTATGTTGATTTTTTCCAAATTTATAGCAAAAATTCAAAATATAAATTCATTACTAGAGATCGGACAAACGGCAAAATCAAATATCAAATCAAATTATTTGATATTTGAAAATATTTGAAAAAATTTGATTTTTTCCAAATGTCGTCAATCAAATATTTGATCAAATTATTTGATATTTGAAAGTATTTGAAAAAATTTGATTTTCTTCAAAACTCATCAAACAAATATTTGATCAAATAAAATCAAATAAAATTTGATCAAATATTTGATTTTCCAACGTCAAATATTTGTTTGGTCCGATCTCTATTCATTACTATAGCCAAGCTCCTCATTTCAAATTCTTCTCATATATTTATTACGTCTTCTTACATTGTAATATTCTTTGGTATTTTAATTTCGCCTGTTATCGGATTTCTTTCTAAAAGATATTTAATTATTAAATAATAATTTTTTTATATAATTTACCTATTATTGGAACACATTTCTTTGGAGTTCTTGAAGGTGAACTAGGAGCTGAAGTATCAAAAATTGTTGACCGATGTTTCTCGATTACCTATTAAATTAATTTAAATTATATTTTTTATCAAAAAATAATTTATTAATTTAATTTAAATTGAAAAATATTTTTAAATTAAGGACCTTCTTTTTTGGAGTTTCAGGCAATGGCGAGCCGAACAAGCGTTCCTGTGTGTTCAATTTTGGGGCACAACGCTTCTGAAATAATATTTAGAATTTCAATATCACCACGGGAATAAATTAAAAAAGTAAGTTAAATCCACAAAAGAGTGGATTCCTTTGTTTAGTATACGATAATAATGGAAATTTTTGGAAATTAAAATCATTATTTACCTAATTAGATTCCTTTATTAATTAATTAGTCAATAAAGAATATAAAATTATTATTTCTCTAATATTTTTAAAAAACAATTTATTTAATTCTCCATTTAATTCATATTTTTAATTAACTAAAAACAATTTTATATCATTCCCCCATTTATCCAAATGTCCGAAACCTTCTCTCTAAAAATTACCATTTATAAAATTCCACAACATTTTTCATTTTTTTGTTAGAGGGGGAGAGAAAAGAGAGGTTTTCTTGCTCATCCTTTAATTAAATGAGTCAGCCAATCTCCCAATTTTTATATAAAATTCGGTTTTTAGGCCGGCACAGGCTTGCAAAAAATTGGGAAAAAAGCTTAAATAAAAGGAATTCTTTTATGTTTTATATTTTAATTTTCTTTTATTCCTTGGAAAATAATTTAAATTTTCATTGGTTTAATTCACTAGAATATACATAAAAGAATATGGAAATTAAAATATTACTATAAAGAAAAGATAATTTAATAATTAAAACATAAATATTCTGGATAATTAAAAACAATATAAAATATTCTAAAATGATATTTAAACATTTAAATTTGGAGAAATATCAGAATTGCAATTTAGAGCAGAAATTATCGGTGTTTAAGTTAACCTTTAACAACCTAATCATATACACATGCTTATATAATTAGCCTCAAGAAATAAATCATTAATTATTGGGACAGAGCAACATAATAAAAATTTATATGGAATTCTTAATTAAAATTTTAGTATCTACATTCAAGTAATCACTCATAGCTATAAAATTACTATGTATATAAAAATTTAAGTATAACTTTGAAGTAAAATGAAGTAATAGTATATAAATAGACTAAATTATATCTCAATTAAAAACCTTTTTAGGCCCCAACCAAGGCGGTGATTGTGATCTTGAACGTTGATAATATAATATTAATCCTTCATATTCCCCTTTCCCATTTTGTTTGGCAATTCCATTTTGAATTGTCGAATTTCCTCCATTTTCCTCTATTGATACAAGTTTCTGATTTTCAATCATTTTATTTTTAAATATTTCTTGTTTCTCTTCTGATGCTTTTTCTTCTACCATTGAAGACTCCTTTGTCAAATAATTCGAAATTGGCTGGCAATTTGAGTTGTTTTTGGAAGAAAAAGGAGTAGAATAGACCGAAGACGAAGAAACAGAAGAAATTGAAAGGGAGGGAGATGAAGAAGATGAATAAGTGGTGGGCAAAACTCGGCTGGATATTTTACTACTATAAAAGCCAATACTACTAGTTGTTGTTGAGGAATTCCTTTTTTGCTGCTCTTTTTGTTGTTTTTGTCCCTTGGGGTGGGCCTTTTCAATCGTCCCTTTTTCTTTACTCTTTTCATCAGGGCGGTCCCAGCTGGCCATTTCCGCCTGGCTAGAGCCCCCAAATCGATGTTGACGACGACATGCATCGATGCCTGGTTTGACGGAGGTAATTTGCCGAAAAGCTACCAAAGACTTGGAAGGCAATGACTGCTCAACCAAATGCGCGTTTTTGCCGTTCTCTTTAATAATTTGCCTTTTATTTGTGGCAGCCGCCATTTTTGTATAGTTTTGTGTTTATTTTTGTTTGGAACGAATAATTTACTTAGGTAGTTTTTATCTAAATTTGTTTTTTAAAAAAAGAAAAACTTTTGGATGAATGATTTAAGTTCGACCAATTTTTTGGAACGTGGTCTCAAAAAAATTATGGAAATTAAATAAAAGTTGTCAGTAAATGATTATTATCCACCAAAATAGAATCTTTTGAAAATTAAAAGAAATTCCGAAAAAAGTAGTTCTAAAAATGGATATATAAAGATATTTAATAAATAAAAGAGAAATCCAAAATTATAAATTTTTGGGTTTGAGACCTATTTTTGAATCCTTTAATGAGATCCTCTAACTAAATTTAATCGAGAAATGATTTAAATATGGAATTTAATGTTTTAAATAAAATATAAATGATTATATAAAAATAAAACTGATAATAATTTTTATAAATTGACAGTCAAATGCTAGGGAGATCAACAATTTCTCTCCTTACTTCTCTCGCCATAATATAGAATTGCTTCTTTTTACAAAAACAAAAATTAATTAAAGTTCAATGGAAATATTCAAGAAAAAAAAAGTAAAAATAATAAATCATTCTCTCTCTCATACCTCCTTTTAATAAAAAAAATTCATTTACGCAAAGTTTTTGTAAAAGCTCTCCCCGTTATTTTTTGTCAAGAAATCGAACTCTATTAACGTAATGTATGTAATAATTTTGTACATAATGATTGAAAATCACATTATTAAACAGGAAACTGAAACTATTTAATATTTGTATGCGTTGTAAAAATAGGCAAAAATATTATTAAGGACAAAAAATAATATGACAAGAATAAACAGAAAATAAATTTAAGTAGACAACAAATAAGTATAATGATTGAATATTAAAATTAATATTCTAGTATACTAGAAAAATATTATAGAAAGTCAGAACTGCCTACATAAATCGTGAAATACTTTATTAATTAACGTTTAAAGATTCAGATTAAATTTTTATTTTACCAAAAGGAAGGCGTGAATTTAATATACATATAAAACTTAGGGCATATCTGAGATCAAATATCTCCTTTATAACTGTCAAAGAAAAGATAATTTTCAAGAGAAATAAATAGCCTTTGAAAGTTTATTTTTTTATTTTTATTTTATCCCGTCCACATTAAATTTCTATCAGAGATAAAATGACAGAAACTTATCGCCAAACCAACCGGTTTATCCTAAATCTCAATAGATTACACTCTTTAATAACAGTAATAAATCAGAGATTTAATTTTTAACTAATTTTTAAGGACAAACTCACAGGAGAATTCATAGCTACAACACCATTAACAGAATTAGTCCCATTAGTTGTTGGAGTCTTTACTTGTGCGTTTGTATCCTTAGCTATTCCGTTTAATTTGCCATTTTCATTAATTTTCCCATTTGTAATCCCGTTTACTTTTACAGGCTTTTGTTCGTTATTTTCGGATGTTGACATTTTCTTTTTTATTTTAACTTTTTGATTTGTTGACTAGAAATAAGTAGACGTGAGTTGGATGAATGAGTGAGTGCACAATCCGTTACAAGAAATGCCAAAGTAAATGAGTAAAAGTCAAATGTTTAAACAAGCAAATGACCCGAAGACGGAAGGTGGAAGAGGGTCGAGATGAAATATGGGTGGGCGGGTATGTATATTTTAGGGAGAGGGGAGAATTAGAGGAGTCGGCTGGCAGCATTATCCAAATAATTCAATGCTTAAAGGAGGGACAGGCCTATATCTACTTGCGCCATCTTTGAAAAGGGTTCAAGCCGGTTGGTTTATTTATTAGTTTGATGAGGGCAGTAGATATTTTAAATAACACAGATGTTAATTGTACATAAAAAATATTTTTATAAATAAATATTTTGACAAGAAAAAGTATTCAAGATTGTAGAAAATTTTTAATTTATAATTCGAAGTACGTATAGTATGTAGTTACATATAGTAATCGAAAGGTATCGAAATTATTTTTCATAATTGGACCGCTCTGATTTGTCCATTTTATAAAAAGTTACAAGACCATACATTCGAAGGATTAAGGAGGCCTAATCAGAATCATTTTACTCTGAATTTGCTAATTTGAATCGACCAATTACGCAACTTTGAATAATTCAAAACTTTGCAAAATACTTTTGGCGAAATGTAATAATTTATTTTAAATGTCAAACGTCAAAATGGTTTGGACATTTTGCCCATTCTAAAATTGATGATAAAATAAATTTTTTATTTTTTTATTATTTTTAAGGAAAATTTTTTTTACTTATTTAGAGCTAAAAATATTTTATTCGCTTTATTTAGAGCTAATTTTGCTTAAATTATAATGGATACAAACGATTCAAAGGATAAAATTTCCAAGGAAGAGGAAAAGGAAGTTAAAGGTTTTTACTCAATTTATGTAAATTTTTAATTATTTTTATTTAGCTTTGGGAGAGGAAGAAATAGCCGCCTTAAAAAGTTACAATTTGGGGCCGTATTCCGATAAATTGAGGCAAGTCGATACGGACATTCAAGAGGCGTTGAAGAATATCAATACACTTTGTGGTGTCAAAGAAAGCGATACAGGCCTTGCACCTCCTGCTCTTTGGGATCTTGTTGCCGATAAACATGCTATTGCTCATGAGCAGCCTCTTCAGGTTTTTTATTTTGTCTTTGGTAGACTCAGTTTCTTTTTCTTAAATAACGAATTTGTTTTAAAAACGAAGTTTGGGGGTTAAAGCTCAAATTAGGTTAATTTTAATAAATAAATTTAAGGTTGCTAGATGTACAAAAATAATTAAAACTGAAGGTCAAGATCCGCGTTATATGATTAATGTCAAACAATTTGCTAAATTTGTTGTGGATTTGGCCACGCAGGTTGCACCCACCGACATTGAAGAAGGAATGCGTGTTGGGGTTGATCGCAATAAATATCAGGTTACTCTCTCGTTAGCATCATTTATTTTTCTTTTCCAGATCCATATCCCTTTACCGGCAAAAATTGATCCTTCTGTGACAATGATGACAGTTGAGGAGAAACCGGACGTGACTTATGCTGATGTTGGTGGTTGTAAAGAACAAATAGAAAAGCTTCGAGAAGTTGTCGAAATGCCTCTCCTTCATGTAATTTTTCTTTAAATTATTTCCTTGTTTCTCTGATTTAATACTGCACTTTTACTACTAACATAAGATGCCTAGGAGCATTATACTCTTGTCTAGAAATCCACCTCCGCCCTCCTTCCCCTCAAAAATTAATTAACATCTTAATCTTTACTTTTAATTGTTATATTTTAGCCTGAACGTTTTGTGAATATTGGTATTGAACCTCCTAAGGGTGTACTCTTTTATGGTCCTCCTGGGACAGGAAAGACACTTTGTGCTCGTGCTGTCGGTAATTAAATACTAATTTTTTAAAATAATTTTTGCCTATTTAACTAGCAAATCGAACTGATGCTTGTTTTATTCGTGTAATTGGTTCTGAATTGGTACAAAAATATGTTGGGGAAGGAGCGAGGATGGTTCGTGAATTATTCGAGATGGCAAAAACAAAGAAGGCTTGTATTATTTTCTTTGATGAAGTCGATGCTATTGGTGGGGCTCGTTTTGATGATGGAATGGGGGGAGATAATGAAGTTCAACGGACAATGCTCGAATTGATCAATCAGCTTGATGGATTTGACTCGCGCGGTGCAATCAAAGTGAGTAAATTATGTTTTTTGAATGAGAAATCGCCTTTCTCTCTGATCTTTTTAAACCTTGTTCAGGATAGTCATTAAAACCTTGTTAGACTGTTCTGAATTAAGTTTCTTTGTCTATTTTCCACTTTGGTTAATATTTATCATTTTTAGGTTTTAATGGCCACAAATCGTCCTGATACTTTGGATCCTGCACTTGTACGGCCAGGACGTATTGATCGTCGGATTGAATTCGCCGTGGTTTGAATAACTTTTTTTTAATTTTTATTCAATTAAATTTTAAAGCCTGATTTGGAAGCACGTGCAAACATTCTAAAGATTCATACAAAGCGGATGAGCGTCGATCGGAATATTCGTTATGAATTGATATCGCGTCTTTGCCCGAATACAACAGGTAAATTGTTTTGGTAAATGTTTTTGTGAAATCCCTTCTTTTCGGCCTTATTTTGAAGCTTAGTTTTGGTAAAAATTAATTTTTATTTTTTAAGAGTAATTCAACTTTTAATTTTCGTTTACTCTAGGAAATTGCAAAATTATAAAACCAAAATTATTTAGGAGCTGATATTCGTTCTGTCTGTACTGAAGCCGGAATGTTCGCATTACGTGCTCGTCGTAAAGCAATAACCGAAAAGGATTTTATTGACGCTGTTCAGAAAGTGGTGAGTAATTTTTTCTATTTAAATTAATTAAAAATTAGAGGGCGATTAATTTGGCAAATGGTAAACTCCAAATTTTAAATGTTTATGGGAAAATGATTTTTTTCTGTTTTTGATTTTAAATAGTTGTCATCTTTTTTGGTAAATACCCGAAAATATTTGAATATTATTTAATGTGTGATTGATTCATTTTTTGGACCAATTACTGTCCCTTTTCTGTAGTTGTTCTAATTTTAGGGGAAATGTGTTTACTTTTCTTTTAAATCTTTCCCATCGTTCTTAATTCTGAGAATTTCTTTTATATTTTTAATTTTTCAGGTGAAAGGATATGCAAAGTTTAGTTCAACTCCAAGTTATATGACACATAATTAAAAACATTTCTTTGTATTTGTGCTTTTAATAAATGTTTTTAAAATATTCTTTGAATTTGTTTGTTTGATTATTGGGTCTATAAATTAATTTTAAAAAATTTTAAAATATTTCTTTGAATGTTTGAGTTAAAATTAAAAATTGATTTAATTTTAAATTGTAGGCACGTGTGAAAATAGTGTGGATATAATGAGGGAAAAGAGAAAAAGGGGTTTGCATGGAATGTCAGTTATGTGTGTGTTTTATAAACTGCTTTCTTTGTGTTATAAATATATAAATTCTCAATAAACGTCTGAACATATTTCATTATTCTTTTTCAAAGTACTCACGTATATTTTTTAATATTATTTAATTATGGAAGATGAACATCTTATGCAAAAAGTGGAAAGATGGGCAAAAATGCTTGAAAAAGAAGATAAGGTTACAGAGGGGTTTTAAGGCTTTTTAATTGCTTTTTTTCCAAATTATTGGATATCCTTGGCTGAGTTCCTTACAAGCTCTATCTATTTTAAAGACAATAATATTTATAGATTGGACATGCACTTAGACGATTAGAAAATGTGGCTATTACACTTCATATTCTCAGTGCCACAGGTTTTGTTTAGATTTTTTAAGAAAATTCAAAAATTTCAGGCGTTGGAAAAACAGTGAATTCTTTACGTAAACATCCATTATGGGGCGATCGTGTTTCATCTTTAGTTTCTCGATGGAAAGAAATTGCGCGAGCTGAAACGGCTGCAGCTGAAGAAAAGAAAGAGGATGAAGAAAGGCAAAGTGAGGAATGTAATATTTCTGATTTTATTCAAATCAAACAATCAAAAAGTTTGATTAAAAGAGGTAAAGTTTAAAAAATCTGGAAAATATTAAATTTAAATTTTAGAAACTAATGGATATGTTAATGATGAAGAATTAAATGTTTCTGATAGTGAATACATTCCAACTCCAATTGTGCCAAAAGTTTTTAAATTCGTTAAGAAATTATTTTAAAATTTTTTAGAAAAAAACAAAATCAACTGTAACTCAAATTGAGCAAAAATCAATTAAAGGTAAATTATTTGTGTTATTTCAATTTTTTGTTTCATTTTTGTGAAATTCTACTATTCATTCTTTTACTCTTTTTATTAAAAAGATTTTCTTACTTATAATTCAATGTTTTCTTGATCTATTAATTTAAATTTTAGGCAATTCTAATAATGATAATCAACAAATTGATGCTTTTTCTGCCCAGTTAGCAGCTGCTGATCAAATTTCTAATACTGTCAAAACAAAGAAAAAACTTCAAAAATTTACACCCGAAAGTATTCAAAATTCAATTAGAGACTCCTTGGCCAGTTCAATATTTACACAAGCAGGTTTGAATTTTTTATTCATATGCTAACACGGATTAAGTTAAATAAAAGTGTGATTTTTCCGTAAAGTTATGTAATTTGTATTATTTTTATTTTCCAATGCTTTAGTAAAAAAATATTTTTTTCGTTTTTATCAATTATTTTTATTTATTTTAGCACCACAGCAAAAACAACCACAACCACTTTTTTTCGAAGCCCCACCTTCATTAGATATCAATATGTTTAAAAAACCCAAGGATAATCGAAGAGTTTATGCAGGAAGGAAGAAGAACGGATTACATTTGGAGCAGAAAGTGCCAAAACTTTATGATATTTGTATTCGTTTGTTAATAAATAATATTGAAGGTTTGTTTATTTTAAAATATTTAATTTTAAAATTATTACCTCCTATCAAACAAGTAGCCAAGACAAATTTTCATTTGGGGATCATTTTTGTAAATATAAATGCTTCATATTTAATACATTAACGCTTCCTTTTAAGTAAGAGCACATTAATATAAGATACTAATTTTTTTTTGGTGTGTCTTATAGTGTAAAGATCGAACTGGACCTCGACCAAGGCCTGGGTTTTTCCTGTTCCCAGAGTCCAGGTCCAGGCATTTTTTGACCTTCCTGGTTTTTTCCTGGGCCTGGGTTCCCTGGACTACAGGCCCAGGATCTAATCCATGTCAAGAAATCAAACTCCAACGTCCGGGAACAGGTCCAGGCTTTTTAAAAATCTCGGTCTTTATTATAGTGAGATTCGACTGTTCAACTAAAATTGTTCAAAACTAATTATTCAAAGAGATTTTTTTAATTTTAAAATTTCAGCAATTGAAGAAACTGGTGATATTCCTTTTCATGTTTTACAACCAATACTTGAAAAAGCTAATGCTATACAATTATTACGTTTAGAAGAAATAAATCCTGTAAATATTTTTTTTTAATTTTATTTAATTTTTTGTCAAGTATTTACAAGAAGATACTGATTATATTTGGAGAACTCATTGTGAAAAAGAATTCTCAAAAGAATTAAATGATATTTTACTTGAAGTAAGTGATGATGAGGAAGAGGATGATGATGAAGAGAAGAAAGAAGACGATGAAGATAATAGTAATGATGGGGAGGAAAAACAAAAACAACAAAAATATATTTATCATGATGATTGTTCAAGTTGGCGAGAGCGATATTATGTTGGTTGAAATTAAAATATAATTAGGGGGAGGGGACCGATAAAATTGTGATTTGTATTTCCAAATCATTAAAAAATATTAATTTTTGATGATTCGGTGTCTACAAGCTAGATTATTAATGTTCAGAATGGCAAAATGGGGGTTTTTGAATTTTTAAGTAACTATATTCAACTAGGGAAAATACAAACGACAATCTTTAACAATAAACTACCGACCCATTTGACTTTAAAAATTAAAATTTTTTTTAATTAAAAATTTAGAAATTCTTCCGAGAGCGAGAACATAAATTAAAACATCTCAGCAAAAAGATAAGGACAAAGACAACTGAATTGGCTGAACCACAACGAAAAGCATTAGTAAGTTAATTGAAAAGTTTTGTTTAAATTATGTATATAGTGATCATAAATCTAAAAAGGTACAGGATTCTTCTGGAATCATGAACAATTAAATTGAACCTTACAAAAAAATTTTGGTCAGATTCTTTCCGGTGTTAACACCTAATTTATATAATCTGACATATAATATCTACCTAATTTTATTTTACATAATTATTATGTACTAAATATTAGTTACACATTTAATTTATTTTGCAAAAATTACTTAAATTAAATTATGTTAATAGGTTACTGCGCCAATTGCACCTAGACACGTTCGCAAAAGACAAATACGCAGTGGAATTGTTATTTGTGCAGATTCAGTTCCTTCTGCAGTCGATTTAACTAGAGCAAGAAGACAAATATTTGAAACTGGTTGAAAAATGGAATATTAAATTGTTTTTATTTTTTATTTTTAGGAAATGATGCCGATCTTCGACAAATGCCTTCAGCAATACGTAATACAACATCACAATTAGGTGCACGTTCAAGCGGTTCTGATATTTCTTCAGCTATGTCTGCTGCCAAAAGGAAACCTCAACGGGGTCCTTTAATGATGAAAACTTTAAAAATGCTCAAAAAACAACGTCGTTAATTGCAACAAAATTATTTTTCTAAATTACAACAAAATATAAAGGAATAGCCATATTGCAAAAAAAAATTCTGAAAGATTGCCCACTTTCCTTGCAAAAAAAGGAAAAGGAAATATGTGATTATTTTAAAAAATAATTAATTTTCTAATGTTCAGTCTATTAGTATTTTTTTTCTAAATTAAATTTCATTTTTTCCTTTTCCACTAAATAATCTAAATTTATTTTTGTTTAAACCATCTTTTTTTAATTTCCACTAATTCATAGGACTGATACGTTTTGGTACATTTTAATTTTCTTTAATTTTTGAGGAAAAATCTTTTCGATTGGAATATTTTTAATTGTCTTTTTTAACGTTATCAGGCCTTATTAGTCTCTCTCTTCTCCACTACATAATTTATATGTAATTTAAATAATTGAGCCTATAACTAAAACATTTTATTTTATATATAAAAAATTATTTTTAAAATATTTTTTAAGTAAATCTAAAAGTATTCGTTCTTTTATGTTTTCGGGATATTTTATCAAAGTATTTTAAAACTAAAAGTAGGCTTCCTTAATTTCACTTTTTCCCTACAACATCAAGTGATGTATAGTTTTTCTACCATCACATGCCCCACATATTCATATCCCATGAAGAATCAGGCATAGAATCGTTGTGATGTAATCCTCTTTAAATCTATTTTGTTGAGTAAAATTAAAAAGGGTCTGCCCATTTCTAATCTCTTTTTAAAGATAGGCGGAGGAAAAGGGCCGTAAACGAGACTATTATCCATCTTCTATACCACAATAAACCCGTAATCGTTAATTATAAACTGAATTTCCACAAAGTATTTTTCTATTTTATAGATTAAAATTTTAAAGTCTCTCCACAGATTTCAATTCAAATAATCTATAGTATTTTTAAAATGTTTATAATTTAATTACATGTAAATATTTTTGTTTACAGGCTCAAATTTAATTCTCATACGTGTTATTCTTTCTAAATGCTTATTTTCTATCATATTGAAAGTTTATGGTTATTTTAACCTATCTGGTATTAAAAATGATATTAATTTCTTTTAAATATAAAATTATTTTTTTAGTGTATAAAATGTTTTTGGGCGAAGTTTTTAAGCTAAAAATGAATATTTAAATTTTACAATTATGAGGGAATATTTAAAAATTTGGTTGTTTTCGTAAATGAAAAAAGGATTATCTCATTTTATTATCCTTTTTGTTTTATTTATTGCACTGAATATTTATTATGGAAATCCTTCATCAATTAGATCCTCTAAAGATAACGCAGATAGTTGCATGTTTTTGGGGCTTTTACGGGGGAATGGTGAATATTGGTTACATCAAAACTTTTTTAATGTAACTTGTATGGATGGACAAATAAAGGCAGGAAAATTTAAAGGAATTTTTTTTTGCTTTATTTTTTGATAAATATACTGAAAAGTTTACGGTCCAACTAAAATTTATTATGGAATATTAAACTGAAAGGATCTAAGATCAGTAAAATGATCATTAATTAAAACCCCAAACTCTTCTATTTATTAAAGTCAAATAGCTCATTAAGGTTGTAAATTGTGTGAGCACGAGAGGTACTCATATTCCTTTAGACACTTTCAATTATTTTGAAGATGGTGTTGACTACAGTTGCAGACTACATTTTAATGAAGATTTTGAGATTGAAGGTTTATCTGGAAATATTTTAAATAAAGGGAAGAATACATACTTTTAAGCAAACAATACTTTACCCGTCCCTGAATGTGATTATTTACCAGGAACTGGGAGATCAGAATTTGTTAGAGGAATGTTTGTTGCTTCTTGTATAAATGATGAAATTATTGGGTGTTTGGATATTTATGGAGATTTAGTCCGTTCTGGACATTTATTTGTTTATACACAAGGCCAGCTTAGAAGATGTATTATTTATGGACGTGGGCGTTGGGCAAAAACTGAGAGATTGGGTAACAATCACAACTAGTATAAATAATTTAAATTAAAAGGTTGTTTCAATGGAAGTCGAGAAGATGATCCTCAAAATAAACTTTATCACGTTCCTTTGGGCCGAAGGTGGATAAATGGTAATTTTGAGCTTCGATGTTCTGATAATGGAATTATTGTTTACAAAGTACGTAAGTTTTGTTATAAAAGTTAGTCAATTATACATAAGGATTAGACTAAATATACATTCAAGTAAAATGTTATAGGAGACTAAGTTTTTCAGTGAATCTACTCTTTAACTCTTAAAAAATATAAAAATTTTAATGTAGTGTTTGGTTGATGGAAGGCGAATACATGAGGGCACTGCCTGGATAGACAAAGACGGAGTTTTAAATTTTTGCGAATGAAAATACTTGATAATGTTTTGATTTTATTCCACTTGTTTTAACGTTTAATTTCTAATATTTTGTTTTAACTACATAAATATACAAAAATAATAGTTCATAAAATCGAAAATTAATTGCAGTGTTACTTCCATCAGTATCCAGGAGCCGTTCTGGGTGGCGGACAATGATCACATCCACCTTGAGATCCATTATCCCCAGCAGGACCTTTATTACCTGGAGTTCCAGGATTTCCAGGCGGTCCGTCCGGTCCTTTATCACCAGGCGGTCCTTGTCCCCCAGGCTTTCCAGCATCTCCTGGTATTCCTGGATGACCCTCCAATCCAGGTTGGCCGTCCGCTCCAGGTGGACCAGCAGGTCCTTGCTTAGGCGCTCCTTTAATTTTTAGTATAAATTATTTCCTATTAAACATGTTTATATCCTACCTTCGTTGAGTGATCCAGGTATTCCAGGCTCACCAGGTTTGCCAGGTTCTCCAGGATGTCCATCAAGTCCTGGCGGTCCAGGCGGCCCTTTAGGACCTGGTTTTCCTCCCTCACCAGGAGGCCCGTTCTCTCCTGGACTTCCAGGTGGACCTGGTGGTCCTTGAGGGCCTGGGTGGCCATCCTGTGCCGGTTCACATGTTTGACATGGCTCCACTTTAGGTGGTGGCGGGGGAGGTGGAGCTATATAAATTTTATGTTTAAGAATTTTCGAATGAATATTCCAACCATCTTGTCCAGGATTTCCATTCTTTCCAGCTTCTCCTGGCTGACCATCCGGACCGGGTGGTCCTGGCGGACCTGGAGGTCCCGCTGGAGATTGCCCACAACCACAGCATCCACCACCTCCACCTGTTGATGCACTAGATGATGTTACTGCAGCCGTTTCTCCATAAGATGCGGAGCTGGTTGGGGCAATTGCAGGTTTTGAAGCTGGAGGCTTCTTTACAACTGCCGCTTCTCCACCTCCATAGGCTGGTGCCGGCTTTTCAACAGGTGCTGATTCACCGCCGCCATATCCAGCTTGACGCGTATGGCGATGTGATCCACCCAATTCAGCAAGCATTTGAGTACGAGTCACCTAAAAGGCAGTAAATAGAAAATATCATATTTTTTGTTATTTTTCACGACAAACTTCTCTCAAAATATTTCCAGCTCTCAATTTGCAAAAATCAAGTTCATCATTCATTTGCGTGCCAAATTGTTGGAAGTGTTGATATGCTAAAGGCACTACCAAAACACATATTAAAGTCGCCACAGTAGAGAGACAAACACCAAAAAATGCAAGTGCTCGTAAAGTTTCAGCTTCACGACGACCTCTCTCTTCTTCCGAATGGATACCCATTTTTGGTTGGATTGTTCTCTTTACTTTTGAATTTTTGCTAGGTTCTTACTGGCTTTTATGTAGCAGCTAATGCTCAAAAAATGCTTATACAAAAACTGGTTGTTGCCTTTCTAATGCCGCCTTGTATGTATACACAAAAGTCCCGCTAAGTTAATCAAAAGGTTTTGGTAAGTTAAAAAAAGAAGAAAAGGGATTGTTTTGCTTTATTTAGAAATAAAAGAATGTTTATCTGATGAATTATTTCGTTATTGCCTGGGGTTGTGCGTAATAAAGCTTAAAAGGCGGATTTTTATATAAAAAATTGGATTGTTATAAGAAAATAGACAAAGGATAAATGGATAATATTTATCATTTATATATAGATAAAGTAAAATACAAGACATTGAGTTCGAGATAATTAGTTTGAATTATTTAAGTATTTTTCTGAAAATCAGCAAAGAATTTGGATAGAAATAAAGTCCCTTTAATTATGTCAAAATAATAAACTTATGTAATTTCATTTTAATTTTTAATTTTAAGTATAAAGATTAATTTGAAAAAAATTATAAGATCAAAAATTATATGTAAAATCTCCCTCGATTTATTTATTTTTATCTTTCGAACAAACTACACATAAATAAATGAATGTATCGCTAAAATTTATTTGACGGATATACTTACATTTATTTTTTATTTATTTATCGACCAACAATCATATAAAAAATAACAAAAGCCGTCAAAAATATATTGTTTTTGTTTGTAAATATATTTTTAGTAATTCTTTCTATTCTCTCATTGTGTTCAATTTATTCTTTATTATGAAAATAGTGAGGAAAACAACTAGTTTGGATTAAAATAAATATTAAAAAATTTTTTTTGATTTTTTTCAAATTTTAGTATATACATACTACAACTAAAATTAAATATAAATAATTTTATTTCAATTTTAAAATCATTAATCATAATGTAAAAATTTTTTAATTTATCATTTTAGGGACTAATTTTATTTATTATTTTATTTATTCCATTCAAGTTCGCGTGATATTTATTTAATTTTACTTTAATTTATTAGAGTAACGTCTTAAAAATTGCACTTATTTGAAAGGATGAATTTATAGTAAAAGTGAACGAATAAAATTAAAATTGTTAGGAAATTAAATTTAAAAATAAATTTTATATATTATTTTAATTTACTTGATTTTAAAGTAAATTAAATTTACATGATTAATTTACTCGATCTTAATAATTTTATTAAAGCTTCAAAACAAACCAGAAAAACAATTTCCAATTTATTTTTATAAATTTGGCCAAATTCTATCTTAAAATTAATTTGGTTCCACTGTTCGTTCATTTTAAATCAAAGGGCAATTCCTAAGAAATGTTTTTTGTTTTTAGATTATTTATAGTCTGTCTAAAATCCAATTAGCTACATTGGTATTTTTCCAAAATATTTTCTTTTAATTTTCCTAAAAATTAAAATTAATTTTTTATTTATTTTGAAGATTCTCTGTCATTTTTTAAATTAAATTACTAATTTCCAAACGTCATTAACCAATGTTCTCATTTCCCCATTTAACCTTCCCTTCTCTATTCGCCAAACAGCCGCGCAAATAAATTTTTATTAAAAAACTGGTTTTTCTTTTAATTTTTCTTTAAATTCATTTGTTTACAAAATGTTTACATTTATTATTTTCATATCTTCTTCACGTGTAAGTATATACTTAAATATGTATATTCTTTTATTTTCTAGTATTTATTGATCATATAAACTTAAATTTATTTTTCAAATTCAATTCTATTTATTATTTAATTAAAAAATAATAATTTATTATAAAAATTTATTATTAATTAACTAGTATATTATTAACATTTTAATTTCAAACTTAATAAAAACTTTTCTCCTTCACCGGTCTATATATCCCACCCACATTAGGGGAGTGGGTCTTAATAAGTAATTAACAAAAAATTGAAGATTTCAATGTTTGACGTGAAAACAGTAACTCAGATTTTATGTTTGGCGGCAGAAGGTGATTGGTCTCTAAAAAGTGCCTCATCTGCCTCATCCTGAACAGTCAGATCCGCTTATTTAAAATTTTTATCCCGTGGTTTTTAATAGAGCGGATACTCTCTATTACTATAACAATATGTATCTTTTAAAGGTTATAATTAAAACTGCGGTAGACCTACTAGAATAACTACTATTGGTAATAAAAAATTAAATAAGTTTAATTAATCGTAACAATTCTCGAAACATTATAAATGACAAATTATGTACAAAGAGCAATCAAATTAAAAATTAAATAAAACTTTTTTTTATTTAAAAAAAGAACTTAAGTACTCAATTAAATACAATAAAACTTTAAATTAAACGGAAATTAGTCCATAAAATTTAATTTTATGCCCCTAAATTTAAATATATTAATTAACTTTCTGGCCTAAATTTTTATTTGTCTTCTTTTCTTTTTGATTGATTACATTAATATTTAATTTAATTAAAATAAATTAACGGCCAAATACACACTCACACCCATTCAATTTTCTATTTAAACAATTTTATGTTGATGACATTTTTAATTATTTAATTTTAAATTAAATAATATATCTTTTTTTATTGAGAGAATTTTTTCTAAATTATTTAATTAAAATTTAAACAATAAAGAAGATTAGCGGGATATAACAAATTTAATTCTTTTGGAAATTAATCTCTTATTAAAATTCTGCTTTGATTCAAAAATCCTTTCTAGCTTTTTAACATCCCAAATTATTATTAATTGTTTTGATTCTCGTTGACATATTCATTTCCGGTTCCCCTTCCTAATCCCTTAAAAGTCTCCATCTAAATACATATGTATTAGGGGTACTTAGCTACTTAAATTATTCATTAATTTTTATATATCCTATTTTTAAACATTAATTTTTTTATTTTTTAGTTTGATTAATTTAATCAAAAAAATTTTCTTGTTAACAAAAATGCAATTATTCCTTTCTCTTTTAATTTTAAAAATTAGCAGCACTTTTCTTTTAATTTCTGCTAATTCAATTGTTCGTCTAAGAAGTTTAAAAATTTCTGGAAATAATAAAAATAATATTATTGGAATTGAAAATTGTTTGTCTGAATTAAAAACTAGAATTTGTGATCCCGATAATATTTTAAATTTTGAACAATTAGACAGAATTAACGAAGCGTTAATTGAATTGGAACAGTCAACTAATGTTACTTTCTATCCGGTTCGTATTTTTTAAAAATATTAAGTTGTAAGAAAATATAAAATCACTAAAAATATTGTGTGAAGGGAGGGTTAAGAAGAAATTTTTATTAATTCTGAGTTGATAAAATTTTGGGTAATTCAGAGCTTATTCAAATATTTAAAAGTACTTTATTTTTTAATCCCTCCTTTTTTCTAAACCGATTTGTACTCCTCTATTAGGATGTTAGTTTTTAAGTTTATTTAAAAAATATTTTTTAATTCTCTTATTTTTTAAAGGCTCCACCACTTTGGGAATTTGAAAACGCAGCAAAATGTCCATCTTCTGGATTAGCCCTTTCATTAATTATTGTCAAAAAATTAGAACAACCAGATTTGGCTACAAAAAGAATTTCTGATTTACACAAAAAATGGACAGAATTACATCCTTGTTCTAAAACAGCAATTGTTTTGGCTGAATTAAATACAAACAAAAAAGAATTAAATGACGGCCAATTACGTAGAAGGTCCCCTGAAGCATTGAATGATGCTCTCTCTAATACTTTACTTCGTGATCCAAAAATCCGTTTTTCAAATAAGCCAATAATGGTTGGAGCACAATTTATTGGAATTAGTAGTGCTAATTCTGATGTTCCTTCACTTGAATTGGCACAACATTATTTTAGACAGGTAAAGAATATTTTTAAAAATAAATAACTAAAGTCTTTATTAAACTTCTTGTTTCTCGCAAATTAACTGTCAGATAACAGCGTTTCCTCAAATAATTTTGGATATAGTTTAGTCGAGGGCCCGCTCCAAACCGGGGTGAAACATATGTCATTCGATTCGTCTCGGCGAGCTGAGTCGAATGGTACCACTCCCTAAGTGCGGAAATGCCTGTGGACCGAGATATAGGTCCCTGAAATTTGAAAAACCATAGGGGGGAGTAAGCTGAATTTTGGGGTGAAAAATTCGATTTTTTGTATGATAGCTCATTCGAAAGAGCTCCTCGAGATGAGTCGAATGACACCAAAATCACTGTGATTGGACAAGTTTGGGCGGAGATATAGGGCTCGAAATGGTCAACATAAACCTATGGAGCGTCGGCGAGGCGCTTGTGCAAAACCCCGCGCTTCGCGCGGGGTTTTGCGGCACGCGCCTCGCGGGGAGTCTACGGGCGCTGGGTCTGGGCTCGTAACTTAATCCTATTCCTTTTTACCGATTCTCAGCCTTGAATGCCGACCTACCCTCCGTAGCAGCACAAAAACAGTTATTCGCGCGAAAGTTAAGTTGTTCATAATTTTGTTCATAATCATCGGATCGAGCTGATTTTGGTGTCATTTAACTCAGCTCGTCGAGCTCTTTCGAATGAGCTATCATTTGTATATTCAAATTTTTGACCCCTAAAATCGCCCTATGTGTTTTGACCATTTTGAGCCTTTCTATCTCGGCTCAAAATTGAGACCTAGAGCCGATTTTGGTGTCATTCGACTCAGCTCGAGGAGCTCTTTCGAATGATCTATCATACAAAAAATCGAATTTTTCACCCCAAAATTCAGCTTACTCCCCCCTATGGTTTTTCAAATTTCAGGGACCTATATCTCGGTCCACAGGCATTTCCGCACTTAGGGAGTGGTACCATTCGACTCAGCTCGCCGAGACGAATCGAATGACATATGTTTCACCCCGGTTTGGAGCGGGCCCTCGACTAAACTACAGCCATAATTTTTAATTAGATTTCAAATAAAAATTAAATTATTTTTTATTTTTTCAGAGTCGTTTCTTAAATGAAGGTCAAGTAACAGAAGCAATTGAAGGAATGGTTGGTGACTTAAG